CTTAAGTCTCACATCGACAAAAAATAAGATAATTAAAAAATATATAAATGAATAATAACTCTCACCTTACAAGTTTGTTTTGTAGGGTTAAGTTAAACTTATAACTTATTATTCTAAATTGGTATCAGATTACTCGCTATTATTAAACTTAATAGTCCCAAAACTTGAGGGGGTGTATTGGGAAAAATATATATATAATAAAAAATAATTAAAATAATTAGGAGATAAAACAATTAAAAATATATATATAATAAAAAATGTCACAAAAAGTTATACATTTTTTCCGACCATTATAAGAATTTTTACCGGCATTTAGAATAATTGATGCTAAATGTTTTAGTAACACTACATACAATAGCTATTGTGGAAATGCCGCTAAAAAATTTTGTAGCAATTTTTATTATCACTAAAAATCATATTAAATACCACTAAAAATATATTTTGTTGTAGTGCCATGAAGTTAGGGAGGAACTAAGAAATTTCATTCTAAAGATTTTTAAACACACAAAACAAAAAAGAAAAACTTGGAAGTGAAAACAACACTCACTATCATTTGATTCCAAAAAGTAGCCTTCAAAAATATTAGCAAAGTCAAAATTGAAGACTTGAACTTTACACTAGCCTAACCATGAAACCACTCACTCAACCACGCCAAGCTCTCTCTCTAACCATGATGGGTATGCATGGTAGAAGAGAGAAAGATAGTTGGGATTTAGGTTAGATTGTAATTATTAATTAACGGGGTTTTGGTACTCATGAAAGCATATTGTAGACTTAAAATAGGTCACAAAATATTGGAGATTTTGCAAATACAATAATACTTTATTCAAAAATGTAAAATTGAAAAGATCTGATTGTGACATAACATTCTATAAGAAAAATACTAAGAAAATCCAACGTCATATGATATATATATATATATGCAATTATTCATAATGAAATGCATATCTATATTCATTACAAAAGGCAATGATATTTACAAGAAACTCTACTTTCTTTCCTGACTATGGATGAAAAAAAACTCATACTCACGAGTATTCACGAATAAAATCTATTATGGATAATAAATGAATATCAGCAAGTAACAAATATAAATATTTTTCTACTCGTTTATAGATAAGACAAGAGTGGGTATGATAGTATTCAAACCCGTAAATATCGACTAAGTAAAACTACTTAAACTCACAATCATGCTTGAAATAGTGGGCATCATAGGACTTATGGATATGACATGCATTTTTTGAGGTTGCGGGTTTAAACGACACTAATGTGCTCAACAAATCTCCTATGTATAATGAGGTTTTGGAGGACAAGCCTCAAGGGTGCAATATATAGTGAATAAAACTTAGTATGACATGTGATACTATTTAGCAAATGATATTTATCTAGAATGGGCTACACTGGTTAAAATTATTCCAATGTTACAAGGAGGTAAAACAAAATTGTTTATCCAACATCAAGAAGCAACAAGAAAGGATGTTGAGTGTGCATTTGGAGTGCTTCAATCTCAGTTTGTAATTATATGTGGCCCTATACGTGTGCTTGGCACATGGATACAATCAAACATATATTATATGTATGCATTATATTACACAACATGATTGTGGAAGATGAATGACACACATGTGATAATTTTTTATTATTCTTATGAACATTTCAACAATAATATCTCAACAACTGACTTACATAATGATAATCATCTAACCCTTGTATTATATCTACAAAGGAGAACACTTATTTATGGTAAATAATATCATCATCAACTTCAAGCCAAGCTTGTGGAGCATATCTAGAAACCTTTTGGGAGCGATAGTTCACAAAATTAGTTATTATTGTAATTATATACTTTTTAAATTTTGTAATTTTTATATTATCGTAATTATGTAATTTTAGTTGACTTCATCATTTTAAATAAAATTTAATTTAGTTAAATAATTTTATATTGTCTCATTAGAAAATATTTCACAAAATATAGTATAAAAAATCTCTTAATTTATAACAATAAAAAATTAAGTTAATAAATAAATTATTGATAATATGCGATATAATATTTTTTTGTAGAATCCATTTAAGAGAGAGATATTGAATTGAAGAGAATGATATTTACTAAGGTACTTAAATTGAAAAAAGCAAAAATAGGTGATATATGTAACATAGCAAGTTGTTTCAAAAGGTCCAAAAACTCAGTATGGGTGATTCAGTAGCCCAGAACGGGTCGTTCCCAAACTGGAACGAGTTGTTCCCAAACTAGAACGGGTCGTTCCAAACTACTGAATTGACCTATAAAATGTAGTTGAGAACGGGGCGTTCCAAACCCTAGAACGGGTCGTTCTAGTTGGAGTACGGGCCGTTCTGGATGGAGTACGGGCCGTTCTGGATGGAGAACGGGTCGTTCTGGTTTCAGAACGAGCCGTTTTGCATGTGATTTTTGTACGTGATGAAGGGATGCAGAACGGGCCGTTCCAGATTCGGAACAGGTCGTTCTAGCCACTCTGGAAATTCTATAAATAGGGGTTGTGGGCAGTGAGGAGAATGAGAGGTTTTAGAGAGAAGTTCTAGAGAGAAGGACTCTGGGTCTGTGGGCTCCTTTCTCTCTCTAATTTCTCCGTATGATTCTTCTTCTCCTCTAGACCACTAATGTCTTTTGTTTTCTCTTGAATTTCAGACTAAAAAGCTTGTTTTTGGAGGATTGAAGTTCAAGAGTCAAGCTTGAAGGATATTTCTTCTTCTTTTTCTTCTTCTCAGATTCTTGGCTTCTTAGAGCCAATCTTCAGGTGAGGGAAGCTAGAATGTAGGTTGTTTAATTTTAGGAGAATTAGGGAAGCTTTATGCATGGTGTTCTTTTGTTGAAATAGTTGAGTTGTTGGGTGCTTAAGTTGATTTATGTTGTTTATAATGTGTAAGTTGACATGATAGATGAATTTTAAATATGTCGTATATTACTGAAGTTGTTTATAAAGTTGTTAAGTTGCATTAAGTTGATTTTGTAATGAATATAGTTGTTTAATTAAGTTGTTTGCATGTTGTTAAAAAAATTATTAAAGTTGTTATATATTGTGAAACTAAGTTGTTTTTATGTTGTTTATTGTTGAATTATTAATAAGTTGAGATATATAAGTTGAAGTAGTTTATTGATGTAAAAGTCGTTTAAAGTTGTACAAGTTGCCTATTGTTGTAAGATGCTTATTGTTGTATTGCTTTAAGACCTATTGTTGTAAGATGTCTGTAGCTGTATTGTTGTAAGTTGCTTAAAGTTGTTAAGATGCTTATTGTCGTAAAGTTGTAAAGTTGCCTATTGTTGTAAAGTTGAAAAGTTGGGGACATATGGTGAAGATATATGTCCTATGTTGGGATACATAGTACTAAGGTGATAAGTTGAAAGTTGTTTTAAAGTTGAATCCCTTAGTATACTGTGTGGGCGACATGGAAGTAGTTGATCCATGTCATGGTTGAATGACCAATTTGAGTAAGGTATCTAGTTAGAGATGTAGTCTTTGACTAGGTACTGGAAGGTGCGTGGTACTTGAAGGACAGTAGGTGGACTAACTCCATATGTGGATTGGTGATGCTAGCCAAGGTTGTGGTAGACTCATACCCAAACCCTTCTGTCCTGACAGTAGTACTGGACCTCCGAGTCTAAGTGGCACACCTAAGCAATCACCTATTATTGTCTATACCTGGTTCTCTTCAGAGTTCCTAACACTATTCTATACCTGACCTGGTTGAGATAGGTTAAATGCTGGATTCGATAGGGTTTATGCCACCTAGACTGCTCAACCTCAGTTGTTGGAGATCTCCTAGTTGTATATGTGTAACGACGCATTAAGTTGTATATTGTTGTTGTTGTTGTATTAAAGTTGCTTCTAAGTTGTATGAATGAGTTGTATTTTTATGTTAAACTGTGTGGTCGTTTGTGATGACGATTGAATGAATGAGTATTATAGTGTTTTCCTATATTTGTATGGTTGTTTATTAAACTCTAGCTTACCCTTTTCTTTCTATGTGGATGGACTACTATGATCATATGGTATATGGGAGTAGATCAGGGTTAGGTTGGAGCTGTTGGCTGAGTCTGCTGCTAGAAGTGGAATTTTTGGTTCCTAGTGTCAGAGTTACCACCTTGAGTAATAGTTTTGTGCTTGACCGGCACTAGGAATTAGTAGTTTTGGATAACTGTATAAATACCTCATACTTAAAAACTTAATGATTCTTATATATTTTTCATGTTTTTTGTATTTATAAGTTATCCAATTTTATTATTTATCTTAATTTACTATTTTTAGTGGGATTTCACTAAGTATAAGAACCACGGCGAGTCTTTACAATATGTACAAGTAAAACCCACTTTAACACCTAAAAAAGGAATCCCTATTGTAAAAGACCTTTGTTTTAGTTTTTTATAAAATAAAATAAACATTCCTCTACTTTTTATAGCTGAACTGTTTTTAAAAAAATATATATATATTTTTGTTGCTATTTTAATAAACAAATTCTATATACTTTTTTTAAAAAAATACTTTTAAAAATTAATCTTTTAGAACTTCCTTTTTTTATTTTTTTACAAAGACACCTAATATAAGGTGTAAAGAACTGACAATTTTGAAGGTATTAATTAATAATTAAAAATTACTCACGATTATTTTTTTTAATTCAACAAATTTGACATTGAATTATTATACTATATTTAAAAGACTTTTTAAATATAAAAAATTGAAATTAATCAGGCTAAATCAAATTTCATGTTTATTTCCAACTGACAATCCAATATAACATTTTTTTTTGTTAATTTCACTCCTATTTTTTGATATTGTTTTTTAAAGTTTCAGCTATCTTAAATATTACCAATACACTGTATAATATATATATATA